TGCAATTTTTCCTATTTATTTAACTATTTTTTTTCCTTCATATTATTTAAGAGTTATACATTTAATATATGTATGGCTTTCAATTTACTACTGCCCACAAACTTGTGTTTTCATATAGGTCTAGGTTAGTAAATTATGTATTGCATGTTATTATATTGTTCTTCTCAGAATGGACTGGTTTTTTATCACACGTTAATTTTAAAAGATATTAATTCATCTTACAAATGTACAATTATTGTAAAACTTTGATTTTGGCTTAACCTACATTAATTAACATTTCTTAATTTTCGAACATTTTATATCGTTCATAATACGTTTCGGTAGGTAAATTTCAACGTTTTGTGATTAACTACGATCAGGCGTTGTTTATTTTCGTGTAATTTTCAGTAATTAATCGCCGTGTTAAGAACATGCGTTAGTATGTCATCTCGTGAAACCTGCTTTAGTGCAGCGGCTCTTCAGAGTTCAGAATTAAATTCTAGTTTCTTAGTTTGGAGTGTTAATATTGTAAACAAAAATTTGGTGTTGCTTCTAAATTTTTTTTAGTCTAATACCATAGAAAATGTTAACTTAAAATAACAAAATGTGTATAAATAAATTATAATTTTATAATATTATTTCTATGCATCATACGCAATAAGCGTCATAATTTATAGCAAGTAGGTACTAGTAAATGTATAAATGTTTGCTGTGGTATGAACTACGAGTGTATGACTCATTTCTGAGATAATACGCACATTCATTTAACCGTGGAGTTTGTTAAATGAGCATACACTTAATATTTTAAAATGTTGAACTTAAAAGTGTAAATATCTAATATATAACTATGAAACATTATACATGGGTACCTACCGTACCTATTATTTGTTTTAACATTGTGGTGTAGATTTTATACAAAAATGTAATTTATTTTAATTTTAATAATAGATCTTTTCGTTTTGTACACCTAATATTATAAAATCAACTGTTAGAAGCTTGGACATATTAATAAGTATTAAATTCGTTTTAAATAACCAAACACAATTAAATGGTTTTTTTAAAAATAATATTTTATTACAATACGGGAAGTGTCCTTATAGTAAACACATAGGGATAAAATATTTATATATATAATTTGCTGAATCTTTGATTATACTCATCATTTGGTTTAAAGTTAAATATTGATTTTTTTGTTTATTTGGTATTATTATTTATAGTATTACCTAATTTAGGTATAAAAAATAAGTACAAAATGTGATTGACGTGAAAGGATGGAACTTTATTATTTTACAATTAATCTGTGTTAGAAGTTGGGGGAGCCTCCATTAATAAGATTCCCGAGAAAGGTTAAATTAGCTTCAAGCCTTAAATAAGCTTATGTATTCAACCTAAGCCAGTACATAATTTGTAAATAGTCTTGAGTATTTTTAATATAAATGCGCAAATTTAAGGAACGCGTTGTATATTTTGATTCAAACCTCAAGTAATAACCGAATCCCACATAACAGCTCCATACTGAAAAATAGACATCCAAAAACGCACAATACAAAGATTTTATAGGAGTCACTAGTTAAATTCATTACTAATTATACTTTTTGTAAAACCTATAGTTTTTAATGCATTACAACACATTTTGTTCAAACGAGCTTTAATTTAATGTTCAATGTTTAATCAGTAATTGGTTGTATAACTGTAGTTATTTTCATTAGCATCTAGAGTAGTAGACAACTTAACAAGTTTTATTCAGAATTTTTATAAAACGTAAATAGATTATGGTACACAGATATGCAATTTATTGAATTTTTCGAATCGCGGAAAACAGGAAGTGATATTCACTCTGGTTAAGAGGGAACTCGTTTGTATAAATATCTTGATATTTTATAGGTAAACACTAAACTGAGTTCTACTTGGAATTGTTTTATGAATGCAATAAAATATATTACGTAAAAAATAATAAATAATAATGCACCACTATCTTGCGCGAAAGTGTGTTTATCTAGACGAGTGCTTAACACCAGGTTTCTGTATCTTAATTATGTTTACATATAATTATAATTTATAGTAATTAGTACCGAAATAAGGTAAATATGTCTTTAGTATTAAACGACTAACCATAAAAAAAATTTAATTAACTTTGTATAAGAACATATTACGATTTACAACGTAGCAAATTCGTTGGATCCCGTGTTTTATATCAAAATAGATCTTGTACCAATTGTAGGTACTGACTACTCTATATATATCAGGGGTCTCCAACCTTTTTTTACGGCGGGCCAAATTTGAGATACGCTTATGAAATGCCGGCCAACATTTTTATGTATGACTATTATAAGATGTTATGAATAACATCAAAACAAAAAATAATAAATTCATTTTATAATTAATTAATTCAATAAATTAAATACAATGAAAACTAAATGAGAATAATATATTAAATATATAATATATCACCGGATACGATTTCTGAAAACATATTTGAATTCATTATAAAATAACTTTTCCATTTTTAGATTCTGAATGTATTGATTTTACAATGTGTTTTTTTATTTGTTTTTTTTTTGTGTCTGTCACATCACCTTTTAAAACAGTAAAAATGCTTGGATTTTCTTAGACTTTTCTGATAGAAAAGTAATCTAGTTGGTACTTTGGGGAGTCAAAAGTAAACATTTCCCAGTAGTTTTTAAAAGTGCCGTGAAAAACAAAAGAATAATTAAGGAAAACGAGAATTTTTACACAAAATCGATTTGGGTTTTTGGAGTAACTCTAAAACAAATTACCGCGGATAGGTACATGAAATGTTCATTATTTATATTAGCATTTTCTATACACCACACAATTTTGAAATATTTTGACTTATGTTGAGCTATTTATAGGAATATGACATTTTCGATTTTTATTAGTTTTTTTTTTATTATGTTGATAAAAAAATGTTTCGTTCAGTCCAATACAGTGACTCTATAGACACCTAATGTACAGCAGAGCATTACCCATTTACCCCCCTATTTATTTGAAGTTAAACGTGAAAACTAAAAAAAAAACTTCCTTCAATATAAAATTTTTAATTTTAGATTCTGAGCGGAGCGAGGAAGCTATGGTTTTACAATGGTGTTTATTTTTATTTTTATTTTTTTATTTTTATTTTTTTATTTTTATATCCTGTTTACAACATTTCTACCAGAATGAGCGTTTAGATTTCAACATATAGTATCTTATCTTTTAGTAAATTGGATCAAGATGGTACTTTAGAGAGGTCATTTTTCGATTTTATCAATAATTATTTAATGCCTCGGGAAAAACCACCGACAAATTACGAAAATCCGCTAATAATGGGATTTTAATATTTTCTAACGATTTGTTTATCACCATAGGAACGAATAAAAAATAATAATATTATAATATTAATTCAACTTACAAGATATAATAAATAATAACAATATAAAATATCCAGACTGACAAACCGTCTCCCCTCAGAATCGTTTTTCTTATACAATGATATTATATCATTGAATTCAAGTTTAATACAATCCATTGTACAATAACCCACTTGTAACCTACTGTACAGCAGAGCGACATCCACTTACCCGCTTTTTTTTTATTGAAGTATTTGACCCATTTGTAACCTACTGTACAGCAGAGCGACATCGACTTACTCGCTTTTTTTAATATAATACATTTTAAAAAGTTAACAATAGGTATTGAATTAAAAAATTTAAGTAGTTTCAAAGCAAATTTCATGAAGAATTCAAATAGGTTTTCAGAAATCATATGGGATAAATAATTAATATAGAAATAGTTAATAATTAGTATAATAAGATAAATTAATAATAAGATTGGCAAAAAATTGATACTTTTGACAAATAAAAATAAAAATAATTTTTTTTTGTTTAACGTGTTTATGACATGTACTTGCACGAGCGGGAGTGCTCCGTTATTTATTTTACACACAGTCATGTACACACTTATGTTCGCTTATAACTTACACATTTACATGACCTGCAAGCACGCATATAGAAAATTGCTTATGTAGAAATCCTTAAAAACGGTCTTTATCGAATCCCCGTAAATGGAATTATGAGCATTTTAAAATTGTAATATTTTCCAAAGTTATAACTCCCTTAAAAATTTAAATATCAATAAAAACCTTCTTAAGACCCTAGATAATATTCTTGTCTTAAATTTAACCTAGTTTAATACTGAAACCAACAACACAATAATGATTCTTTGGAACGTAAATTTGTTATGTTGTATACTTGTAAGACAAAGACCACAATAACAGCAACCTAGGTAACTACTCATATACTTATAAAATTTAAATTTTTTATTGATTATTTAACCATTTATTTAAAAATAGATTAACTATGAATTACCCCGAACTACCCAAAGAAAATAGTAAAAGTAAAAACTATTCATACATTTTATTACAACCACCTAAATTATTTTTTACAATAGATAAAAATGTATCAGAAGTGATGGAAGACAGAAATAACCAAGCACGTATCCAGGATCAATTTTGGGGGGGGGGGGGGTTTAAAATATTTTAAAGACGTATGTAGTTAGTTTTTGTTACCTATATTATAAATATATACCTACTTTAAAAATTTCGGGGGGGGGGGGGGGGGTTGGAACCCCTAAAACCCCCCCCCCTGTATACGGGCCTGGAAATAACGTTGACATTTTGTTAATGTATTTCTGATGTTAGTTCTGATTTCTTTTATGTGTATTGTGTATAATATTTGTGTGGTTTAATTTTTTACTATTATTACATATTTTACTGTATCATATCCTCAAATGTTAATTGTTGCTAAATATTATAAATACCTTTTAGCTTAATATTATGATGCTGATAAACAAAGGATTATATTGAACAATTTAAAGTTCATATTAATTTCAATTTCAAACTAATCGGTTTTATTATTTTTATATTTCCATAATTCAATTATTTAATGTTTCAAGTTGAAGTGATGGTTATTGCTTATAGTTATTTATGTAATGATTGAACATTATTGTTTTTTTTTTTACAGGCTAAGCAAAGAGCTACGATAAAATGGCTTTTGTCAAAGGCGTACAATAATAGAATTCCAGAAAATGTTATTGAGCCATTTTACAAAGATCATGATGTAAGTATAAAAAGTAATCTTATGGCATGTGTATTTTTAATTTATATTTTTTAAATGTTAGTATTAATAAATATACTTTTTTTTTATATAGAATCAAGAACATCTAAAACCACCTTTGGTCCATTCTTTAGCTAATGCTGAACTTTATTGTCTGGCATTAGGAAATATATATTCTGATCCAAATTATCACAATCTTAATCACTGGGGAGTTATCCAAGCTTTAAATAAAAAGGGTGTAACTGTGAATGATCCATCAGTAACAGAGACCGTTTTAATTCAAACAACACCTTTAAAACTTGTAAGTTTTTGTTAGAATTACTTAAACATTATTTGTTAACTATTGATAAATTATATATTAATATATTATGAACATTCAATGCTAATATTTTTTTTTTTTTTTGATAACAGAATATTGAGTTACTTATCTTAATTAATTTAACTGAAAGTTATGATATTTGTCAACTATTATTATTTTTAATTTAAGTTAATAATATTATATTTCTATGTTATTATTTTGTACAGAGTGCTCACATGGCAATAATGGAAGCTGTTATGACATTGTATGCAAAAGAAGTAGCAACACCTAATCGTGTAATGGCTGCTATACAAAGACTGAATCATGTTCCTCATAGAACCACTATTGTAATGCCTGAGGATAACGAAAAAGCTATTTTATTATGGGTTAATCGTACTGTTGAGGCTTTAAAACATCGAATATCAAGTTCACAAACGGTTAGTATTTCTTAAATACTTAAGTATTCAATATTATTTGTTTTAAATTTATTGAATTTTGCTATATAAACCTAGGAGAATTCGTCTGTACCCGACATTTCCCCCGTGAATGATTTTCATGAAATCAGTGATGGTGCAGCTATAGCAGCGTTGATATCTTTTTATTGTCCTGATGAATTGCCTTGGCAGTATATTACTGTATCTAAAGCACCAACATCTACAGACTGTATAAAAAATTTCAGTGTTATAAATGATTTTTGTGATCACAGTCTACCTTTTAGCATATTTCACATGAGGCCTCAAGATGTATATTATATTAGAGGGTATTACTAATATGGTTATAATTGTATTATGTTTATTATAAATACTTATCACTTTAATTTTATAGGTCTATGAAAACAAATTTAATCGCATTTTTTGCTGATTTGTTCAATGTTTTGGAAATACATCCAGCTAAATGTGTCAGTTTCAATCAGGGTAGAAACGATTTGGCAGACGGTAATTTAAATTTTTTAATTTTATTTGTGCAAATTATTATTTTGTGGACGTGGAATTACAATACTATCTCCTAATAATTGTTTTGCTTATGAATGGCTGAAGTGTGAATATATTATAATAAAGCAGAATAATTTATTAAAAACCAATTCACACACATTTTCATATCAAACACCAACAGCATTTTCATATATTTTTTTTCTACCATTTATAATATTTTTATGCTTATCTATATATTATGCTGAAAACTAGAAGTATAATTTAATTCTATTTGAGAAAATTAAAAAAAATCAAACTTAGTATTTGCTAATCACAATTTAAGATAAACAATTTTTTCTTCAAATTTTAATATGCATCATTACAAAAAAAAAAGTGTATAACGACCTTAACATTCTGAATAACAACATTTTTAAAATTTATGATTATTTAAAAAAATTATATTTTAGTTAAAAACTATATTATTTTAAATTACAATATTAACCATATTACGCAGTGAATGTTATATCAAATAAAAAATACAATTTTACATTTAACATGGTTAAAGTCAAAGCAAATTCTCAAGCAATATTAGTTAAGTTTACAAGATAAGTTTTTGCAATTAATATTAATCTCATTAAAAAGTTATTAAATTTAATTACACGTCCACAGTGTATGTATTATTTTTATTCATAAATCAGTATTTATTTATTGTGATTTTTAGCTTAACTTAAAATTTTTATTACAGTTATTAAATTGGAAAGGATAGGTTAAAATAACTTTTTACCATTTAAAATAAAATATTCTATAATAATGAAATAAAATAGTTTAGTCCAATAAATTAAATAAATTGTTTGTACAATCAAATATATATGCAAATGTTTTGAAGATAGATAATATGTATATATATATATATATATATTGAAAATACTTTGATTTTTGCATGATTGTCATTCTAACTTTAAGTTTATGATTGAATGAATGTATATTATTTTAACATTTTTAACTTTTTTAACCAAAAAATAATACATTATACAAGTATTATAAATAAAATAGTACAAAAAAGGGGGTTTACATAAATAAGTTTGACAAAAAAAGATTCAAACCATTATAGAATTTTTTTTGCTTGTGGTGATAGCATATCCGAGAAATAGCCACGGAGTAGCGCATAAACGTTTGTTACCTCAAGCAATTTCTGTTATACCGGATCTCCGCAGTAATTTGGATTCACATTCAACAGGGTTTACAGGTATCTGAATAATATTCGAGTTGGTTATGAGTTTATTTTTGTTTGTGTGTTTTTTTATACCAATGCCTCTAAAATTCAATTATCACCGCATAGCTTTGTGTTTTTTCACCTTTTTTTTTATTATGTTGAATTTTAGATCTTTTTCCAAGATCAAATTTGGATAATTCCTTAATACAATTTTTGACAATGTCAATGTGTGTTTATTATTAACTGTTTGCTAATGTTTGCAATAATTAATGTGTAACGGAATAAGCAATATTAAAAATAGAATTTAATTGAAGGTTTCAAATATTTTTTATATTTTATGCATGTTACCCTGTGAAGTTTATGTATGGCATTTTGATTTTTGGTGAATGATAAATTAATAAATAGATAGTTAAAATCATATTTATTTTGAAAAAAATATTTTTCAATTTTTTTTTAATAGATTATATTTATTCTTTGTTTTTTATTAGTTTTATAGAAAATTTTTTATAAATATTTTGTACTTATTTATTTTTTCAAATTTAGTTAGTTAAAATATTTATAAACATTCAAACAAATACTTGTCAATACCCATCTTTACTGGCATATAAAGTTATAAATGATATGGTTTAAAAAAGTCATGAATAATTACTTCCTTTTTAAAGTATTTGTTGTTAAATATTACATTTTGTTTTTAAAAGTGTAAATATATTTTATCTTATTTCAATTTTTAAATGTGCACCTATAAAAAAAATGTTATTAAAGAAATTAAAGTTTTTACATTTTAAATAGAAAAAAAAATCTGTTTGTTTTTTATAATTCATATCTAGTTAGTATATTTAAATAAATTAGCTTATGTGGTTCTTTATATTGCCCAAATGATATAATATAAATAATTAATTCCTTGGGAAGGTAAATTATTTGAATATCAATATTAAATTAGAAAATAACACTTAAAATACTTCAAATATTTTCACAGATAGAGACAAAATGATAACTTGATTTTAATGAACAATTTATTACAATATAAACATTTTATCAAAAGTCAATCGTTAAAATTATAAGTTATATTTCTTGTTTTGTTTATGATGTACTTATATTATAACCCTTATGTAGCTAAATGTCGTGAAGTTATGTGTATACATATTGTTTATTTCTTATTTAATTTTAACACTTAAATATTATAGTTGCAATTATTTACGTAGTATTTTGTCTGTAGGCATGGCACATAACAATTCTGTGAAAAAAGTTTCAAATACAATAACACCTCAACCGCCACAAGACGGAAAAAAGACTACCCGGTATTTAAAGAATTTTGAAAAAATATGTTATACAATTTATTTTAATACTTTTGAGTTTCTAGATGTAACGGTGAAGAACAATTTGTCGTTCATCGTAATCGTTCTGTTCTCACGCTAAATTCAATGTTAAATCCCAGTAATGGTGATGCTAATAATGATGTAGCAGCAGGTAAACCAACACACTGGGAAGATACAAGAAAACAATCTTATGCTGGTCGACGTTCAAGAAGAAATTCATTTTCTGAAGATTCACAAGTATGTTTCTCCAATAAACTAATTTATAACTATTAAATTAAACATTAAATGTGTATGTTAATATAAATTAGTTAACGGTTGAAAATTTTGGAGGATCACAAGATAATTTACATTTCCTTGGTCGAAATCCAGACAAAGAACCGGCGATACACGTTGCACGTAAAGATAGCATCAGCAAAGTAACTAATTCTCATTCTCAAGAAAATGATAGTTCTGGTGTTCATAATCTATTACAACACTCCAATACTAGTCCTGGTACTTTCATATTAACCAACTAGGTCTATGAAATGATACTAAAAGCTTCCACATTTTAGCAATGTCGAGGGTTTCTAGTGATGCATCAAACAATAGCCAAGGACTTCAACGGATGTTGTATGATAGTTTTGACGATGTAGAATCTGTTGTCCAACCACCTATGCCTACACTTAAACGGAGCTTGTCATATGTTGATACTACTACACAACCCGTGAATCCATCCAGTACAACTACATGGTTACAACAAAGTTCTGCATCTGCTGCTCACAGTGATCATGGTAATGTTAATAAACAATTTGGTCTTACAAAAATTATTATTATCCATACATATTTGTTATTAAAAATAACGATATTAATTTAATATAATTATCATTTATAGGAGATGATTCTGAAAGTGACGGTTCTGTTATGAGTTCACAATTGCTCAACATAAAATTAAAATTAGAAGAAAAAAGGCGACAGATTGAAAACGACAAACGCAAAATGGAATCTCTTATGAATCGACAAAGACAACAAGTAGGAAAAGCTGCATTCTTCCAAGCTGTTACAAGGGTAATTTTTAAAAGTATACATATTTTTTGATAAAAATATTAAAATATGATCTTTGGTTTTTTAGAGTAAAAATGGTGGTAGAAATTTACAAAGCCCTGATTCAAACTATAGCAGAATGATGTTTAATGACGGTAATATTTCACCATCTTCTGTTAAAACTGCTCAGCAGTCTTTTTCATTTCAGGTATTTGTTTAAAGTTTTGTTACTTTAATATTTAAGTATAATTTAGTATATATTTCTGATAAATCATTTGTTATAAAAGGATAATGGGATGGAAAGTAAATGGTCTGATCGTATGAGTCAGTACACGGATGATCGCAAAACACCCGATTCAGATCACATAAATACAGAAGATTACAATACCTTATCCAAGTAAATATCATTAATTATTCATATTATATGGTTTATTTTTAATTACATATATGTAAATGTATGAATTGTAATTTATAAATTTGTTTAAACAATTCAGAATGCATTCAAATTATCAAGAAATTCAAGCAGACCTGCAATGTTTAGCTAATCAACAAAACCAAATGCAACATAACAGTTTACAGTCAGAAATGATGCAGCATTATCCTGGTATCCAGTCATTGCAACAAGTTTATCAAAACACTCATTCCATTCACCAACCTCAAAATTACTTAATCAACCGCCAACAAAGTAATAACTGTGTAATGCCGAATGGACAAATGATGCAACACATAGATCATAACAACACTGATAATAATCAACAATGGCACAGTCTTATGAATCACAATCAACCACCTATGCCAGCGTTTAACAATTATAATCAACCACAACATACACAATACCAAAATCAGCAAGGTTATGTTAATCAAAGACCAGTTTCGTCTAACACACTACCAAATCCCAATGTATACTCTCCAGCGGACAACCATTATTTGCCACAAGATCCATATGAGCAAATAATGCCACCTAACAAGGAAACACAATCCCAGCAGTTTTTCTTACACAACAACCAACAACAACCTCAACAACAAAAATTCAGAAAAAGTTGGGACATTTCATCATCACCACAGACACATACATTTGCTCAAGAATCACAAAACGTTTGGAATGGCAGGTAAAATATTTCATAATCTAGTTATATCATATAGGCTATTTGAAACATAATATTAACTGATAATTTAATTGTTTTCAGTCGTACAATACCAAAATCTTCACAACCATCTTCATTGAGTGGGTCGCCACGTCAAAAGTCTGAATTTGCTCTGTTAAATAGGTCTGGTGTTAAAACTAGTCCTTCATCACCAGTTCCTCCTCCTCGTCGTAATTCCAATCATGTTGTAAGCCACTCTCAAATGCCAACTCCATCCATTGATGATATGCAACCTCAAAGCATTTCATTCATTGGTATGTTTGTAATATATAATATCACATATCAGTAGGTATGCATCAAAATTATATTGTTCAAATTTACTTTTGATTTTAGGCAACGATGCAAACAAGTCAGATCTTGACCTTTCCGAAAGCCTGAATAGAATTCAAATAACGTCTGGACATAGAACGTACAGGATACCATCTCCTACCCGAACACATATGCCAATTAATCGAAATTCTTTCAACGACAATAATACCTCTATATCCAACACTAGTCAAGATACATCTGCAAACACATCGGATAAAGGTTTTTATGTCTCATTTGAAGATGAAGAAACACCTAAGCGACCCAAACCTCCATTGAGAATGAAAAAAATTGTATCAAAAGTATGTATTTATTTTACTTTTGTTATGTAACAAATAAATTAAATTTGTTTTATAAATGTATTTGGTTTACAGGAAAGGAATTTGACTCAAGTATTAAACAATTCTGTTTCACTAAACAACTTGGATATTTCTCCCAGACATTTTAATTCTTCAACGATTGCAAAGTCAAAAGAATTTTCTACTCCAGTTAAATCTGCCTCAGAATCTGCAGTATTGCAAAGCTCAAATAGCAAAATTAATCGTTCCAAAACTTCACCTTCTACTGGAGTTGAGCTCATTATTGAAAACCAAAATCCAGACCCTGTATGTATAAGGCTTTAAAAATTGTCCTTTGTTTTATATGTTACTAAGTATATTAATTTATGTTATATTAAGGTGGCCATTGATGAGATGGAAAAGAAGAAAGAAAGAATTCTTTTATTGTCGTTACAACGAAGACAGCAACAAGAAGAAATTAAGAATAAAAAAGAAATTGAAGCACAGAAAAGAAAAGAAAAAGAGAAGGAAAAAGAAGAAATGAAACTACGTAAGAAAGAAGAAGAAAAACAGAGAAGGGCCGTGATATTAGAACAATATAGAATTAAAAAGACTATTGAAGAAGCTGAAAGAGAAGTAAGTAGCTAGAAAAAATATAATTGTAATTTATTAATATAAAATTTTTTTTCAAATAATTTATCACTTATGATTATTTTTATTTTTTAAGGGGAAAACTGTTGATAAAGAACTTTTGAACTCATTGAAAATCAACAACAATCATACTATGGGTGGCCCTCCAAGGTTACGAAGTAAAATGCAGAGTGGACGGCCCCGACCAAAAACTATACATGTTGATCGAAGTGATACTCCGGATGGAACGATGACACCATCTCGAGGCAAAAAAGGTTCAATCACAAATCTTGCTAGTGAGTGTTATTATTATTGTTTTTATAACTTTTTCTAACAACACTTTCTGTATTCTCACGCTTGATGTTGTTTGATGTTTTTTTTTATTTAATCTTTATTTGGTTTTTGTGTTGAACACTACTAAACTAAAAATGTTATTTTGTGCACGTAGCATTGAACTCACAAATTAGACGAGATTATTACCGAGGATCACAAGACTGCTTAGCCGAAACGCGGAGAACGTCAACTTCCTCTCTTTACTCAGGTATGTTAGTTTCAAATGTTCCTGATCCTAAATTACAATTTAGATTGCATCTGTTTGATGCTCATTAGTATTTCCCCCAAATTTTATTTCTTGTTTAGACTTGACTGATGAAGGGAAACTCACTACTCCAAGAAATTTGGATCGTCATGGATCTTACAAAAATTCTAGAGGTTAGTATATTTTAGTATTGCCCAATGTGTGTAGACAGATTTGTTTTTTTTTTAGTTATATATATATATCTTAGTCGTCTAGTTTTGCTTGCTAATTGTATATTTTGCTCGTATAGCAATGTTAATTACAAGACTTGTGTGTATGTGTGGCATTATGCTTGTTTAAGCATACTATATCATAAGTATTTTAATTATTATTGTTGGGATCATTTAGAGTTGGGCTTTCAAATTTAAATTTTATAACTTTTATGTGAAAAACAACTTAATTTCATTATGATTAATTTAATGTTTTGGGATTAGAATTCAATTTGTCTCAATTTAAAAGACAACTAGTTATTAAATTTAGTTTTTATATTTTAATTTAATGATGAATTTTATTTTATTCTAAAATCTAGAGAGTTCTGATATGCTACAAGGATCCTCGGATAAACATTTTTATTAATATTTCTGTATAGAAATTCCTTGCTGTAGTTTTAGGATGTAGTTTTGTTTTACAAAATGTTGGTAGCATGTTTGGCGAACGTTTTTACAGATTCTTCTTTGGACAGAACAAAGCGTAAAACAAATTTTGGATACTACAATAGTGCACCTCGTAAATCCAGTTCTCTCATGAATTTGTATGGTAAGCTAAATGTAAAAAAAAAATTGGTGGAGGTCAATTACGCATGATAGTTTTACAACAAAAACATACAAATATGATGTGTTGTGGTGGTGGAAATCTATATTAAGTAATTTCAATTCGACGTTTAGAAATAACTATTTTAATCATCAGCATCTCAAGTATTATTATTTTTGAACTTTTTTTTTATATGATGGTGTAAATAATAATCTCAGTAAGTCAAAGTATCCAATGTAGGCAAATCAGTGTAGATCAACAGCTATAGTATCCATATATTATATAAAATATATAAGTATTCGTTAATATTGTAGAAAAAAAAGTACTTTATATTGTCAAATAGTACTTTTTTACCATTACTGTTGAAATGTATAATAATCATTAGACACCAGCAATATATTTGCAAGTACATAATCACATAATTGTGATTGTTATACTAAATTTCAAACCAACTATAAGTGACAAAAATTAAAATGGTGCTGCTATAGCTTTAGGTATTTTGTCGTTCCATTCAAAAAGACGTCATTAATTATACACTCAATATTAACGCACCACTTGCACATTCCTTAAGCTGGTGGTCGGTACTACAATATTGTTTTTTGTTTTTCTTGATCATAATGGCTCAAAACTTTCATGGTTTTGTATATTTTTGGTAAATCATTGTTATTATAAGTGTATTTTAAGTTATTATAAAGCTAAATACATTTTGTAATGCATTTTCCAGATATTTTTTTCTTTTAGTAGGTAATGCATATTATACTAATTATTATTTTGCTTTATTTTAATTATTTTGCAATTTTTGATATGTGTCAACAAACTGCAAATTTAAGTTTTTAAAATATAAAAAAATAAATATAATTTATGTAGGTATAAAATAAATGTTAGTGTATCAATGATATATATATTTTTTTAATGTATAAAGTCAATTAAATATTTATTAGTTAAAACATAATTTTACTAGAAAACAAAGTATTTTATTTTAGTTGAATAATTGGTTGCATATTTTTTTTATTTTGAAGGCCATTAATGTTAAGCCTTTACCTTGTTAACTATTTACAATACCTTTTTTTTTTTTTAAATATATGTAATAATCATATAATATTATGTCTTTACTTTTTGGTTAGGATATATGGTAATATGGTATAATAGTATTTTCCCAATAATTGATTTAATTTTGTTTGGTTTTTAACATCTAGGTATTGTTAAATTATATCACTAACAAATAGGTCTTAGATGTTGTTGCATTTGCATGTTTTTTTAAATGCTCCTAATTGTTGCTAAGTAAGCTATACATGATTATCGTTAGCAATGGTAAAAATATTTAGTTGTAGTGCAATTATTTGGAATTTTGTGTATTTTATTAATATCAATAAGATTGTTTACATTTTATCTGCTTTATAAATACATTTTTTAATATTAATAATATGTTTGTTTGCCGGTCAAGTCTATCATAAAATATATCAAAAACTGTTTTTGTATTAAAATAATTAAAATAATTTATTCATTGTAATTAAAAATAAAAATAAATAATTCTAACAGTTGAATTTTGAGTTTGAGTGCAATAACATCCAGGCTTTAATGACTAATTACTGCATATTAATCACAACAACTAAAGGGCATTGTTTCATATTTTACTTTCCATCTCTTGCCTATGTTCTTCAGGTTCAAAAAAATAAATAATACTAACGGTTCTGGATAATAATTTACAATAAGAGAACCGATGAATTCACTCTATGTATAATACTTGTCGAAAAATGTGCATCCTTATAATATTAGTTAATATAATATTTATGTTACCGTCAATGATGTAATATAGGTTATATCATAACGTAAATGTCTAGCTAATATCATTAATGCCCAACACCAGTAGACAATATCTAGGTATTGACATGCCATATAGCCAATATTGTTAATATCAAATGTTTTGTTACTACATTTACACCCATGACTAAGAAATTACTTTAATGTATAATACTGGTAGAAAATATTGATAATTTTGTTTAACAAAATATTTAAATTGGGTTAGAAATTTGATATGACGCTGTAAAGTGCACAGAAAAATTGATTGACTATTTAGGTAGGTCCTAATGTACTATATTGTGCTATAGTGCGCGTGGGTGTGTACAAATATTATAAAAATATATGTTATCCGTTATCACTATTTAAATTGTGTGTAAATACTATGTAACTGATGTACCTATGATGATGAATGGCTATATCTTACTTAGCAATGTACGATCTTCTATCTTCGATATATTACTGAGCCTGAAAGTATGTTATTTTTTGTACTGGTTTGATAAATCTATTTTACAACACAGACCCGTTTCTAATTCAACAAGCAAATTCAATAAAAAATGTTATCAATTATAGCTGAAAAAAGCTAGAATCATCCACAATGACCTACTAAATAATTGGCTGAAAATAATGAGCATTAGCGTTTTTTAGTAGTCAATATCGTATATAGTCAAATTCTATTGGAAATATCGCTGTTTATTAGTCATGATTTGTTAATGCATTAACGTTAATTCTTTAATTTACGTCTTTGATGATAACATATTATTATACGTACGTGTACATGCATTTCTTTTTCGCCGCAGTTAGTCTGTGGTGTATACCTTTTATAATATTAATATATTATGTAAATATTAATTTGTAGGAGGTTCGAGCTGCGACCAAGACAGCATGCTGTACCGGTGTGGCGATACGGATTCAGGGCTGGGACGTGCCACACCGCCAAGAAGAGCCGCATCACCATCTGGCCCAGGGTCTCTACCTGTCCGTAGAAAGTTCGACGACGCCGCGAGCGAGAGCGGTGGTAGCGACTACAGCGGTCCCAGGTAAGAATAAGTTTTTTATATTTATCTATTTAAGAAACGTGAAAGATACCGGAAAATACAATTCTGGTTTTAACCTAGTCTAACCGATTTATTCCGTTTTCATTGCAGGCTCTACAAACAACCAGTGACCAAGTCCAACCGCGGTATCATATTGAACGCAGTAGAGTATTGCGTGTTCCCAGGTGTAGTGAACCGGGACGCCAAAAAGCGGGTACTCGAGGAGATCAACCGGTCCGAGGCCAGGCACTTCCTGGTACTTTTCCGGGACACGGGTTGCCAATTCCGCGCGTTATATCTGTACTACCCGGAGAGCGAGGAGGTGGCCAAACTCTACGGCACTGGTCCACGGATAGTCACTGATCGCATGTTTGATAGATTTTTCAAGTGAGTTGAATCTGAAAAATTAAATTAATAATAAATTATATTATTTGTTTAGAAAAGTTCTCTGTGTTTAGTTGTTGACACTGTAGAAAATATTATATTTAGGTGGGTACGAAAAAAACAGCTCTGTAAAATCACTTCCCGAGTTCGGCAACGAATCTCAAATAAATTAATTTACTCTTATATAATCAAAGTGGGTGTATTTTTAAATTTTTTTTAAAAACATTGTGTTTTAAACAAAACAACCCAGAATATAATAGATTTACAATTTACAATAATACAAATGTCCCAGTTGAACAAGTGTTTTAATTTTTTTATTAATTAAAGTCAAGTTTTCCTGACATAGTCATCTAAACTTCATGTTATTAGAATAAAACAAGTATTTAAAAGGTATTATATACAAGTGTAATGTACGATAATAATATGTTACTTCAAGTAGGTACTTGAAATTGAGTACATTTAACAATACTGCGTTATGATGCATTGATGTCTTACAGCTGGTTAAGAAATTTATATTTCAAAACATGAAACTAGAAAGCCAGCGGATCTCAAGTACCAAGCACATGTATGCCTTAAGGAAACGTACTTGCAAGTTATAGTTGAAAGAGGAGTGGGTTAATATTGTTTTGTAGTTGAAATGTACTAGTGTCAATTTCCCTGTGACCTCCCCCGGTATTGTGGTTAGAAATTGTCTCTAGGTAGGCCTATTATGCTTGAAAATATAGGGGATTTCCGCAATCCTACACAGTACACACCGACGATCCATGGTCTTTATTTTCATTACATTATGCATAAATTATTTCTTAGAAAAATGCCAGTTGCAATTAATAATGATGTTATACGCCGTAGTAATTGTTAACCGGAAATCAATTGTGTTAGCCCGGAAAACAAACACGGCGTTATTATTAAAAAATGCATTAACGTTGTCCCGTGGTTTTTACAGGTACAATTCGGGCGGCAAGTGTTTTTCGCAAGTGCACACCAAACATCTGACTGTCACCATCGACGCCTTTACCATACACAACAGTTTGTGGCAGGGTAAAAAAGTGAATTATCCCAATAAAAAAGACATGACGCTAGTCGTTTGATGTAACACCGGAGCCACCGGCCCGGGCAGTCGTTGTCGTTTGTTCGTTTAAGTTGTATTATTATTATAATTATTTAGGATAAAATATACCCGCCGTATGACTTATACGGTGTACAATAATATGTTGTCCTGCCGCTTACCACATGCGCCCGTGATTTCTTAACAATTTTCGTTTAACACAAGTCTTAATTATTTTGGCTATTGTCTAGCATGTAGTTATTAATGTTTAAAGAGTAAGAAGTAATTATAGCCGAATAATAACTACTACCTACCTACCTTTTAATATAATATATATTTATATAAATATTAATATGTATTTAATAATACTATAATGATTTAAATTTTAATCCTCGCGGAAATAAAAAAATTATGTATTGTTGAAAGGAAATATTATTTTGTATGCATTTACAACCCCTATTTGTATTAATTGTTGTCTTATTAAGGATTTTTTTTTTATAATCTGTACGTCCGTTGTGATTTATTAAAATTGTATTATTAAGAATATTATAACTAACATTTGGAAATTTTTTACTCAAACCACATGTTGCGTTCTGGTTTACCTATATATTTATATATACATATTGTGTGAGTGTGTTGCAATAGTATTTTTGTGTATGCATTTTTAAGAAAATTAAAAAAATTTAATAATTTTTTTTCTTTTAAATATTTACATATTTTATGTATATTGTGGTAAATAAAATCGCCTAAACCAACGATTTTCATACAGTTTATAATATTAGGCGATGGCGCTATATTAGTATTCGGTAAATAATTGTTTTTTTCGATATAATTTATTTTTTTTGAAGAACAAAATAGGTTTGATCATTTATATTAATGTTATATCAAATTGTATATTAAAACGTGTCCATCTACTTATGTCTTATCTTATTGTCTATAAGATATGATTTTTGCGCATATCGAACTATCGTTGCTTCGTACAAAATATGTGAAAATGCGCGTATTCACGAGCTTCATTGTAACTTTGTCTTTTGTTTTTACTTAATTAAAAACATTGAATATAAGTATAGGTTTAAACATTACACGCGCAACTTCTTAATATTTGCATCGGAGTGTTTATATGTTATGGTTATTGAGTATAATATTTTATAACGATCAGTCTTATTAATTAAAGAACACACAATAATAATTTTTAATCAAAATTAATGAAAAAAAAAAAAATAGAATAACAAATAAACTAAAAAAAATATGTTAAAACACAATTTATTATTATTTAATATTATTAAATTATATTATTCCCAAAAATGATTAATACCAAAAAAAAATAAATGTTTAACTTCTTCATATATAATGTTAGTAACCAACTAAACTTGATTTATTTATTTAGTAAATAGTTTATTTTTATTCATTTTAAGATTATATTCTAAGATCTGTTTTGTTAACAATTTGTGCCAATTTGTAAACATTAGTATTTTTTTATGTTTTTCCTTTTTCTTTTTTTCTTTTTTTAAAAGTATTTTTACAATTTTTCTTGTCGTTTACTCTTGTTACAACTACAACTATTACTACTACTACTATTTTATTACATCTTTCCTAAGAATTTATGTGTATATTTATGTACACATAAATCATTGATTATTATTTCTACATGTTAAATATTGTTTCATCTCTAAATGATAATATATATTATTATATATTATTATTATGTCAAGCTAAGCTATCAGAACGGTGCGGTTGGTAATTGTTCTGTTCAGTTTTATTTTTTTTATTTTATTTTTTTATTATTTATTTATTATTTTTTTTTTATTATTATTATTATATATATATATAATATATATTATAAATAATATGTTTATGTATGTATATTTATTAATTTTTAGCCATAGTCTTAGAGAAACTGACGAAAATGCCGATTGAAAAAAAAAAAGATTGTTTATTGTTTACAACAGGTACATTTTAATATTTGTAATAATAATAATAATAATAATAGTAATAATTATTATTTTAATACATTGATTATGTTCACTAAAAACCATTCATTAACAGCGTTACACCCAATGAATATAAAATACTATATTATATTATTATATATGTTGTGTTGTTAACTTACGATTAAATTGTGATAATATACTAAGCTTTTTTTCTTTCTCTTTTTCGTATTCAATTAATTCCTTTGTATTACCAACTTATAACATAATAGTATTATACTATAGGCGCAACTAGAACTTATTTTTTTTGAGTGGGACTAAAAGTATCAAAAACGAAATTTAAAGATTCTTTATTTTTCATCTGGGATGGCTATGGAAATATTGGAGGCTAAGCTCCCAACCCCCTCTCATAGTTGTGCCAGTTATAGTATAATAACTATAACAGTTTAATATATTCTTTACTCTATGGTTTAGTTTAATCATAACTGGTTTGTCGATATGGCTATGCTTCAGTGATCGTATTTTTTTTTTCCCCTTGTCATGTCTGAGATTTAAGTGAAAAATGTAATAAACGCAGATACTTTTAATACTTGCTTAAATGTCTTCTGTCTAAAATTGTTTGTCTCATTTGTTATTGACTCATACTGTAATAGACGTTTCACATTTCATTATTTCACCAATTTTTTTAGTACCTATACTTAATTATAAATCGTGACCCGTCATTTGGTCCGGTAAATTATATCCGGTGACAATTGATCCACGACATTTGATCCGGTTCAAAAAGAACTTGTACCAAAAATATCCTGCTAAAAAATGTCCGGTAACAAAAAAATATAAAATATAAATATATAGTTTTTTTTTAATTAGTTGTTATTTTATTTTCATAATTTTTAAAAACGTCATTATAAAAAAAATATAGAATATAAATATATAAAAATTAGTTATGAAAATAAATATGAAATAAATATATAGAAATTAGTTAGTTAGTTAAAAATGTATAGTATAGTATAGAACGTATAGTATTTTAGAAAAATAATCAATAATAGTCCCTATATATGTATATATATATAAATATTTTTATATATAATCTACCTTATATACAGAAAGCGGTCAGAAAAACCACAAATTAACGAATCTAATCAGTTCTCAACGATTTATCAGATATAAATTATTATTATGTTGGAGATAGCGATACATCCGTTTTTTTCGATTTTAGTACATGTGAACACCTAGCCGTTGGCAAACGTGTATGAATAACGTTTACCGGACATATTTTTGTTGTTACCCATTTTTTATATGCCTATTTACATTTTATATTACTTTTAAAATTACGTTTTTGAAAATTATGAAAATAAAATAACAACTAATTAAAACAAAAACTATATATTTATATTTTATATTTTTTTGTTACCGGACATTTTTTAGCAGGATATTTTTGGTACAAGTTCTTTTTGAACCGGATCAAATGTCGTGGATCAATTGTCGCCGGATATAATTTACCGGACCAAATGACGTGGAACCATTATAAATATATTATGTGATTTATGTTTATAGACTATAATAGATAATAATATACTAATTGTTCGCCTATAACTTTGTGTCTACGTGATACGTGAATGGTCAATGATGCGTGGGTGAAAGGTAATAATTTAGTCACTATTTCTCAGAAACCAATATTATATACAATATTGTAGTTACTATACTTCTGTTAGTTGTTACCGGGGGGTGGTTGTAAACTCTCCTGTGTATGTAATAACTTTGTTTGTATATAATATTGACTATAGTCTAATATGAAAAGTTTATAAATTATAGAAGATAATAAAAAAAAATTATAAGGTAAACACAGGTAGTATATACAGTATACACTATGCTTGCAGGGTCAGGCCGTCAACGTGTAACAGAAAGATCTGACAAATAACAATTGAATTTTTCATGTGCATATACAAGATGATTCTTTTATTATGAAACACTCATATTATTTCAAAAAGTATCAATGTTTTTGAAAATATTTTTTTACATAGTTTCAAATTGGTAAAAAAAACGTTTTTATTAAAAGATCATATTTTTAAACATTTTTATCCTTATATTTTTTTTAAGTTTTTTACTTTTTTGAATGACAACAGAGTTTTAATTTCATATTCCAAAGCAGAATATTTTTCTAAGTATTTTGATTCATAAAAACCGAATTTAGGGCGAGTAGCTTATGAGTTTAAGTATTTAAAGTTTAAATACTTATAACTCATAAAATACTCGTAGGTATGTAGATATAGGCAATAGGTTCCTATATTCGATGTAATTACTGTACATTTTTATGACAGTTTTTGAATTCAGTAGGTTCCTAGGTATCTATAAATTATAATATGTAGTCAAGTACCTTATACTTATAGTAGTTAGTACCAGTACAGTCGTTGCCAGATAAATTGAGCAGGCGGCGGCGGCGCGATAACGGAAAACCAGTGGTTCTCCGTATTTCAATATTATTAGTTATTACCGAAAATACATCAATAAACCAACAATATTGTTACAAAAAATATTTTACGATATTAATTTAAAATTGTTTGCACTGAGCCGGGTTCGAACTGGTGAATGCGCGCGTCGTAGCCAACTTACTGTGTGACCTATGCACCACACTGCCAGCAACTAGTTTGGGCTACACTTACTGAAAAGCGCCGCCGCCGCCTGCTCAATTTATCTGGCAACGACTGTACCTATTGTTTAGAATTTAGAAATTAAGAAATTACTATAGAGTATAGGTAACAGTTAGCCATAAATGTACAATGACGCCATGAAGGTATTGGGTACTGTATGTAGGCCTACTTACTTAGTTATAGTTATAAGTTAAACTTATAATCTTTTTTTTATATTTATTTGAAGAAATCTACAATCTATACATGCTTTTTGTACAATAAGTAGGTTTGATATATGAAAGGTAAAATATGATATGAGTAGTTAGATTAGGGAAGATACCCAGTGGTAACACCCTATGTAAACTTATAATCTATGAACACATTGTAAAGATACTTTGCCACTTTGCGTGAAAACTATTGACTTATTCAGTATAAATAATAAATGCAAATTGTATATAAAATAAAAACCGTCTAAAAGTGATTATTAT